TGCACAGTGAAGTAAATCATATTGGCTATAATAAGGACAGGTGAGCCTGGGAGATAGTCACTTGCACCTCAGTCCTAAAGAGAAGGCAATGCCTGGGGAGGGTGACTCGTGCTGGATCAATCCGATTCGTACTGCTTCTCAGTGATCCGGGACCCGGGATGGGCACAGATTCTCACCCTCATCGGCAGTAGTGACTGGGCCATCTGCTCTAACCCAGATACACCTAGAGTGTTTCCTGGGGCAAGCCTTCAGGGACAGATTCTAGTCCCCATGAAGACAGCAGACCCTTTTTGTTTCAGGCACCACTGGGGTATTCCCTGGCACCACTGTTGTCCCTGGCGGTTCCAGCACAGGTCAGTCAACAGGGTGGCACACAATCCTCCCCATGTCGCCCCGCAAATTAGATGTCTCCTGGTGTTGCTTTTCGTGTCCTCTTCTTGCGGAGCACCCCCATCTCTCTTCCATGACCCCTACGTATTCTCCAATTCCCTCTTGCTATGTACCCTCTCTTTCTCTGGGTCAACTCTTTTGCCCGAGAAAGTCACAAAACCAGAGCTGGAGTTAGCAAAGTTGAGCGCTGCTAAGCCCAATCGTGCTCCCCGTGAGGACCCCTGAGCATAGTCTTAAGAAACTGTGTCCACACTGCTTAACATGCGATACGGAAAAATTTCAGCTGTCACACAGACAAGCCTGTCCTTACCTTGCCTCCTCATGGTGTCAGCTTCCAAGAACCTTCACTAGGGCATCATGAAGGCAACCTAGTGACCGAAGCCTAGACACGTGGAATGAAATTTCCCACGTCCCCTCCAAAGAGATACCCGTTACATATTGGGGCTGAGTAAAGTGGCTATAGGACACAGGTACCTCAAGTAATTGATGAGGATCATTTGGAATGATTAATCCATCATGTGTCCTTTTCCTGCTTTAGGCACCTCTGTCACCCCAGGAAGCACTGGGGCTGGAAGCGCAACAGGTAAGGCTGGCTTCAGCTTTCTATTTTGCGAAACAGTAATGATAGAAATAACTCTGGAAGTTTAGGTCTATTAATTTTTGGATATCAAATGTTACGAATTTATTCATTGAAAACAATTAAATACGTTTACACAAATATTTTTTTTTATTTCTTGTCAATAGGAGCCACCACTGGTACAGCTGAGAAGCCAAGTCCTGGAAGTAAAACAGGTAAACATGGGAGACGCCCAGAGACCTCTGACATTTAATCCTAGGGAAAAAAACCATCAAGGCTGGACCATGAATCAATGTATTATTGTGGCCCTGTAATTTAGGCACCAGTGGTGTAGTGTCTGGCACAACAATTGCGTCTGGAAGTTCCAACACAGGTAAGCCAATAACCTAACGATATAAGGAGCTTCAGTAATGAGATATACATGCCCCCACCCCATCAACTTCTGCACCCAAACACATACATTCCCTACCATACTATGATTCTTCTGAATTTACTTTTCTACCCCTTTCTTGCACTTAGGGGCCACAACGTCTTTGGAAAGTGGTGGAACCACTGAGGGTGGAATTAAAATAGGTGAGTACTAGCAGTCCAATTATTATTTTTCTGTGCACAGTGAAGTAAATCATATTGGCTATAATAATCTTAGGGGGAATTTTACTCTACCTACATGCCACTGACTATAAATTGACAAGATTTTATTACCGTACCCCATGTGAATTATCCTTTACTTTGTATATATCTAATAAAATGGCATAATAGGAACCATACATTATGTATGGTTTCACTTAAAGCAAGAAAGTGTCTGATATAAATCTTTTAGTTCAAGAGAAATCCATTAATTTGTTCTCAATTAAATCCTAGATTTAAGCAGAAGGGAATTCATAAATTGATTCTCTCTTTTTGTGATTTCAGTTACCCTCGGGGTGACTCCTGGCACGACCATTGCACCCAGGAGTTCCAATACAAGTGAGTCATGAAAAAGTTGACCTGTATGTGTGATATTTAGAGACCTGATATCTTCCTTAGGAATTTTGTACAAAGTATTTCTGTTACTTTTTTTTTTTCAAATTTCTGCATCCTATACCACTCTCTCCTATTTCTTCTCAGAGGCTACAACTTCTATAGAAATTGGAGCTACCACTGGAGTTGGAATGGCAACTGGTGAGTGGCTTGCTCTTTCAGCCTTTGTATTCTCAAGAATTTTCTGCTGGAGTTTGTGGTAGATGATGAATGAGTGAGAAGATGGGCTGAGATAAGCTTTTGTATTCCATTTGAAGAGACAATATGTCAGGTCGATCAGACTTGGGCCTTTGTTCTTCAGACTTATTTTGTCCATACCCTTGGCTTTTAGATATCATTTTATGAAGCCAAGAATGATGCATTACTCTCAATGTTTTATCCATGTTGCCTTTGCAGGTACTACTTTAAGGGAAGCTGGAGTTTCTGGGGTCCCATAAAATTCTAGTCCTGGTTAGTAGATACATTTAATTCATCCATCTTAGGTTTCTCTTGCATATAAAACCCATTTTCATGGGTTAATCTTCATAACTAAGGTCCCAACAAATTGCAGTTGTTTTTCAAAATTTACAACACCACCCTCATACACACACACACACACACACACACACACACACACACACACACACACACACA